TGCAGTATTTTAAGCTGCACAAATGCATGGCAATCAGTGTTGCGAAGCAACGGGCGTTCATATGGGCCTCACGTAGTTGTGTGGGTGGTGGAACGAAGCCAGTAGATGGTCATGTGGGGCCATAAAGGACATCACATTGTGCGGAAGTGTTTTTTTCCCATTTTCTTCGTGCTTGAACACATGGGCAGGTCTGAACAAACCAACTAGCAAGTGCCGGTTTGGTTCTCAAGATCGGGTTTCTTCCAGGCCGACCACCCTCATTGCAGCCGGCGTTGGCGTTCGTCAAAGGCGGGCATGTACGCCAGGCGGCCACAAATCGCTGTCACCAGGAGCACAATGAGTCGTGGCGCACGCCACAAGCACTGGGCGGTCAGCTGGGGATGATCACACATTTGCCAAGACCTGCAACCCAGAAGCTGTACCAGCCACCTGCCGTGCACACGACCAGACAAGTACCAAGGCCACCACAAGGGGCGCAAGCGTGCAGTCAAGCAGACATCTCATCACTACAGATGCAGGTCATTCCCCCGGTGCACAACACGTCTCCGTCTGCAGACCATACTCAAGATCAACTAACGAGGCAGTCCGCCTGCCATCCACAGCAATGGTCGCGAACAAGCCGCACCGCGACCACAGGCACAGCCCATCCAGGCATCATACCACACCAAAGCGTCAAGCAGGGGGAGGCTGCCCAGGTCAAACACAGACCGCACCAAAAAAGACGGCAGACGGCAGCTGACACCTCAATCATCATCTTCCTCGTCCTCGTCCCCCTCCTCATCTTCATCGTCGTCCTCATCGTCCTCTTCCTCAGCTTCCTTGAGCCAGTCAATGAACATTTGGGCGTGCTTTCGCACCAGCTGGCCTGCCTCCTCTGGCACGCCCAGGGCGGTGGCGCCGGCGCTGGGCCTGTCGTACCAGGCGATGATGAGGTCCTCGTCGACTACCTTGAGCTCGTACAGGGCGTTGAGCACCTTGGAGGACTCCTTCGCATGCTGGGGGGCAACGACGCCCAAGAAATACTCCAGGCCTATGAGCTGGGCGAGCTGGTCCTTGTTGGTGGTCGCAACAGACTTCAGCAGCGCGTACCTCTCCTTCACCTGTAGACAGAAGATGCGGAGGGTCAGAGGCTGTCAGGCAGTCCGGCAGGCTGGAAAAAGAACCCTGTAAGGATGTGTGAAAGGGCATATCCCTATGCAAGGGATACCCTGTATCAGGGGTGTCAAACAGGGTTCAGCAACTGGTGGGGACTGTGCACTTTGTAAAGCAACAACACAGGGCGAATGGCTAGCTGCTGGGGCTGTACTCTGCGGACACATGTCTGAGAGGGCCATTTGGGGTTGGGGATCGGCAACTTGGAATGATATCCTGCACAAGGATTGGTTCGTGGGGTTGGGTTTGTGGCTTGCCAGATGCCAAACAACTGTGATGCTGTGTGTGATGGGCACTGGATGCACCGTCGTTTTAGACAAGCGTTGAAGAACTGGCATAAAGGCAGGCAAGAGCAAGCAGCAATTGTGCTATGGTTCATATGGATGTGCAGGCAGCATTGTATGTGCATATGGTTTGGCAAAGCACAAGCACTGGGTCAGTTGCTGTTTGGCTAACCAAGCGCCAGTATGTGCAGCCTCACTTGCTCAGCAACAGCTGCCCTACTTGTCTGGCGCCTGCCACTGCCATGCACCTGCCACTGCTGCACAGCACATACTGATGAACTGAAATCCATTCAAGTTGGCCAAGCAACAAAATCTAAAGTAGCAATTAGCTTGGCCAAAAGTGATCGTTTCCATACCACCTTGCAAAATTGTGCGTTTCCGCACCTCCTTGCAAACAAAGTGGACAATCTCACACCATGGCCTCTTGCAGAACGAACTGTTCTTTTTAGGATTTCCTTTCAAGCACTGCTATATGCTAGCCGCGTGTGTTGGAGTCGTCAGAAACATTGCATTTACATTACATTCCGGCATTTCCAGCAGCAAGACCAGTTGATGCTGCATAGGTAGTGAAACCATGCAAGGCTCACCAGGACTCCCAGCGGCTTTTCTGTCTGGCCAAGCAGTGCTATGAACAGCAGCTGCATGCGCACGGCAGCTTTGGCAGACACATCCTTCAGCTTGGCGGCCACAGCATCCATGGCACCATCTTCTTCAATCAGGACCCTGATCTCAAACATGGCTGCCACCTCCTCAGGCTTCAGGCCCAGCTTTGCCAGCGCCTTCTTCTCAGCCTTTTTTGCTTCTGCCTTCTCTGCCTCGACATTGCCCTGGACGATCAGCGCAGCGGCAGCTTGTGTCAATTGTTCCTGCATTTCATTCCACACACAAGGGTCAGGACAGTGTGTACTTTTGCTTCAGATGAATACCATCACTTGCATGTAAAATGCCCTTGTTAAAACATAACCAACCAATCTACTGTTTAGCAATGTCAGGTGCTGTTCACAGTTGTTTCCGAAACTGAACTAACATGATTTGCCAGTTCTTCCATATTTTTCATTCCCAAACTCTCCATCTTTATCCATACTACTTTGAGTTCCTGAATCACGCAGAAGCATATCAACTGACCCAAACAGGCCCTGACAGGCCCTAGACAGGCCCTGCTGTCAGTAACAGGCTGTTGTCAGTGACAGGCTGCTGCCAGCAACAATCGGGAGGACACCACTCAAGAAGCACAGGGAATCTGTCGATGGCAACAGGTGTCAGCAAGAACCGCAAGGGAGTGGAAAGGGGCAGACGCCACAAGATCTCTTTGGCCCAGCTTGAAAACAATCGCAAAGTAGGTAGAAAACCCCATGGATGTGCTTTTAACTTGCTTTTGACTCTAAGCATACAAGCAGCGAAACTCGAGCCATTTGATACCAGGATGATAGTCCTGCTGAAGCTCCCCCAGAGGAAGTCAGGAGCTTTTGTCCAGAACTAATTTAAGTTTGCACACGATGCACACCATCTGCTGATACAATTACACCAGCTACTCAACTGGAAGCCCAACAAACAACACACTTCCAGACCAACACAGTACCAGAGCACCGAACTAACAATGAAAACAACAACAGGAGGCATGTGCCAATAATTTGCTAGATGATGTCTAAACACCATTAAAATCAGCAGCCCTTGGTCTATCATGTACTTTACCCAGTCCACAAATGAGCAAACAGAAAGCACACTTGCACAACATGTTCCTCCTGGTCCATGCATGGCCATGCACAACGCCACAGTCCCTCTTCTGAAACTGTAGACCTACAGCGTGTAAATATGGTACATTGATCTGAAGAGACCAGGTTTTCAGCAGCAAGACTACAGCTCCAATTGAATGCCTCCAAACGCACCTCCGCCCTCTTCTTCATTGCTGCCTCAGATGTGTCAGTGTGCCACTGCACATCATCTTCCCCGCCATCGTCCTCCTCTTCCTCTTCGACTTCATCTGCCACTTCGTCCACTTCAACTCCCTCAGGTTTCTGCAACCGGGCAACAGCACCCTGTCAACCAAGGCAGAGTACTGGGCAACTTGCACATCATACATTGAACACTACTCTCCATTTGGAACGGGGCTAGCCATCTGTACCAGTTGATACAGTGGCCGGCCCTTCCATACTCACCTGCCTGCCAGCATGCACAATGGGGCAAATGGAGCTGCAGCCTTTGCAGTGTAGTGTGTGCCATAGGAAGTCAGCATGGATGCGTGATTGACTCCCACTACATTCAGTTCACGATGTGCAGAAAGCACTGGCAGTTGTCTGACAGCAGCTTCATTATGTGCTGCTTCTGGCAGCAAATCACTCCACAACCATGCGATTGCATGACAGCAGCCACAGGTACCATTACCCCACACTCTGCATTGACATTAATGGGCACCGTATGCATACACACCAGCACAAGAATCGGTGGCCACCCAAACCACAAGCGACGCATATTCTGCCCTTGGCTCTTTTACCACATTCTCAAACGTGAAGTTCTGCAAAACAGTGTGACACAAACATGCAGGAACACAACAAGAAACAACAGTCAAGCAGCAACTTCTACCGCCATCGACCTCACCTTACTGTCGTCAGATTGTGGGGCGCTGGACTCTTCATCATCGGCCTTTTCATCCACTTTTTCCTCATCCCCTTTGTTTTTCTTCTTGTCCCTGTCCCACACAGGACCAAACTCATTAGCACAGTCTGCAGATCTTGGTACAGACCCCAAGAATCCCCATCCCCATAGCTCTGGCTCAAATTACAGCAAACATACTCATTCTTCAGGCAACTAGCATCCATGCTACACTCTCTAAACCCTTACCAACATTGTAGTTAATTAGAGGCTCAAAGCTGGTTTTCTTCTCATATCATGAGCTAAATATCTTAGAAGACGGATTAATGCAACACTCCCAACTGCAGACTGTTCACACAATCATTCACACCATGAAAACTGCTGCAAATGCAGCAACAGGGCTGCCGCCCACATGCGTTCATAGACACCGCACACACCGTTTCTTTCCCTTTTTGTCCTCCTTGTCTTTTCCCTTGGCAGACTTGGAGAGCTTCATCTCCTGGGCGCCCTTCAGCCTCTCCTTCTCCTGTTTCTTCAGCCTATGCAACACAGGCCATCCCATTGGAAACATAAATTTGGCATGCAGGTCATCAACATCAGCCACACAACCTCACAAGGATGCAAACAATGCATCAACATGTCTGCTACAAAACAGGAGAAATACGCAACGAACAAAGTGTTCAGAGCCAACAGGAAAGAACCAGATATGGGTGATACCCTTGGTAGCTGACAGCAGTCCGCCACCAAACCCAGAAGCGCAGCTGAGGATGTTGACACCACCAACACCCGACCCTGGCAACTCTATGTACTGCAAGAGCCCAATCGTTGCTGCCACTTTCAAACTCTTCATGCTGCATTTGCTTGTATTCCCCCCAGCTTGCTTCCTATCTGTGCCCAGCTCTATCAAGCCAGACTTCAGCCGTCCCGGACAGGCCCATCACACAGGCACTCACTTCTTCTCCTCCTTGCTGAGCTTCTCCTCTGGGGGATTCTTCAGTATGTAGTTGTTCACCTTGTGGCGCATGTCCACACAGGAGGCGGCCCCGCATGCCTTGCACAGCAGGTAAATGTTCTCCCTCTTGATTTTGATGCGCGTTTCTGGGTTGCCGCAGCTGTGGCACTGCACGTACTTCTTGATGAACGAGTCCAGGAGCTCCGCCAGCTTTTTGGAGTCATGGGCGCCGTTCACGATCGACATGCCCGTCTTGACATCGTAGCTCGTCAGCGCGCCCAGCTCGCAGCCGAATCTGGGGAAAACCACTCGCGCAGGCAAAGAACCAGCTTGGCACATCCGGGTCAGGCCACCAGTCGTGGAGTCAATCTGCCTGGGGTTTCGACCCTTAATTCTGACCTAACATCCTAACTATCCAACTTTTAGGCGGCGTATAGGGATTGACAAATAGCCAGCAAAATGGCCCAAACCAGGGCGCCGGTGAGGCCCACAGCCACGGAAACCCAGCCGGGCACCGCAGCCCACCCACGGCGCGGCCGGCAATCAACCGAGGCACGCAGGCGGTACTCACATGCGGGTGGTCTGTCGAGGGCCTTGGCGATGTCCACGTTGTTCACGACGTTGGTCTTGATGCCGTTTCCCCTGCCTTCGATCTGTGCGCCGCCGCGGGCACAGAAGCTTCCAATCAGCTCCAGCAGGGCTCCAGCGAGGCCCACAGCCCCGGGATCGCACAGCAGCCACAGCAGAGGGCACAGCCCCAAACCGGCCAGGCCCGTGAAAAGACGGCCCCCCTCCCCCGGGGGCCACCCACCTTCGCCTGCAGGATGGGCATTTTGTATCGGTAGAAGGAGTCCCCGGCATTGTCAGCCCCGATGTTCTGCAGTGCCGCCATTTTCGTTTTCTGTAGGAGCTCCAATACAGAAACTGCTCTCCGGGGTCGCTAGCGGGCGCGCATGCAGCGGCTGCAGCCTCCTGGTCGTCGATCAAGGGCGGGCTGCGGGCGCAATTTTCGTCCACCGGCCTGGGCTCCAACGAGCAATGGAAGGGCATAACAATCCTGTGGGGCACCGTGGCGCGGGGCTGGGGCAGGGCTGGAGGAGATGGGCGGGGTGGGGAAGCCAAACCGGCCACGGTCCTTGCGGGGCCGCGAGCGACCTGGCGCGAGGGCGTGGTGGTGGAAGGCACGCCTGCTGGCGAGGCACCCGGTTCGCCCGGCGTCGCAGAGCACGACCGCGGATTCAACTGGGGAAGGGGTGGCTGCGGCATATTTATGCGGCGGCGTGGGTGCGATGCTGGCCGGCCCCACATGTAATGGGTTTTTTTTCGCCAGGGTGGCGGGTTTTTTTTATGCCGGGGTGGCGGGGTGGACCGCTGTTTTCAACCGCGGGGGGCAGGGGGGAACCAAGCTGCAGGGGGTCATGTACTGATGTGCTCAGTTGTGCATATTTTTGTTGTGCTGCATTGAGTGGTCGTGGGAAAGTATTGCGTTTTGACCAACGCTCTACCTTGAGGATGACTGCACGGGGGTCAAGCCTGGGTTGTTGGTGAGGGTCACACCATTTCTGTGATAAACTGAATTTTGAGCCAGTCTGCAAGCTTTGCTCTTGTTCAAGTTCGTGTGAGTCAGTTTTTTGGGTTTTTCCGGCCAAGGTGAAACGAACGAACATTCTGGAGCAACCAACGCATGTAGCATTGTGCCTGTCATCGCCTCACAGCTGCAAGAGCAAAGCCAAGCACTGCTGTGGCACATGGAATCGAAGGCTCAGTGGGTTGAAAGGAGGTGCATCAGTTGTGTTTTGTTGTATCTTGCCAATCCGAGCGGGCGACTGGATGCTTTGGGTCCAAAGGGACTCAGCTGGTTGTGCTGCTCATCGCCTGTCTTCAGCGCTGCCTCCAACTCCATCTCATCGGATCCACGCAAACAGCAATGCATATCATGGCTATGGTCCTTATTTGAAATTGGCAGACAGGACGCTTGCCAGCGGCCTGGAACAAAACCCATCCACATGAAAATACGTCGTAATCCTGATCCATATCAGCTAATCACAAAACTGGATAACGCTGGACCTTCCGGATACTTGTCCAGCCAGCCGGACATCAGGCTGTGGCGCTAGTGACATGCTTCAAAACAGTGATGTCCGTTTCGAAACCAACATACAGGGCCCTCATAACCCCCAGCCTGCCTTGCCTTCCATCCACCAGGCCCCAGCAGAATGGGGTGCACCTGAATTCTCAAGCGCAATCCAAATTTCCGCATAGTAAATGCAGCCACGCCAGTCGTCACGAATTCAGTAATTAAAGGAAACGCCGCACAAATGGATCCCTCCAGCCCACACCTTGCGCCAGGGCTTGCACACTGCAAGCACTGGACAAACAGCCAAAGGCCAACTCAAAGCCCCAGATAAGGCACGACCGCCGCCCCTCCCAGTTCACGCAATCAAAAAGCAAACACCCCATGTCGTGGTTCCCTGCCTGCACCAACTACAGTTACACCATCCCCTGCCGCTCCTTCCCCGCCACTGCGACGAACTTGGGCTCCACAATCCCACCGATGCTGTCCCCACGCCCGCACGACAACGCCACAATCCGCAACCGGTCCGCCGACGTCGATCCACACAACTTCATCAGCGCTGAGTGCCTCAATGTGGGTGTGGATAGTCGGCATACGAGTGAGACGAACACTGGGACAAGCAACGGACACCACCGTTCTCGGTTTGGTGGCGACATAGCTCTCGGCATAAACGGAAGTTCAGCATCACCATCAGTGCCCGGAGGCCGACGACTCATCCCGCTCAGGACGTCCTCTGCAGGGTTCCCAGCGACGACAGGCTCTTGGAGAACGGGTTCTTCTGCGAGCCCAGTCCGTTGTGCCGCCGGCCCTTGCCCTCGCTCCCGTGATTGGACCCGTCCGCGCTGCTGGAGCTCTTGGACGACCCACGCAGGTAGCCCAGCCCGAATCGCGACTTGCCCGACTTGCTCTGCAAAGGCTCGTGGCCCATGCCGTGCCCAGCATCGCTGCTGCCGCGCGACAGCTCCGACGCCCCCCGCGGAGGCTTGGCCGCTCCGCCGGAGTCCAAATAATCGGGCGCAGGCTCGCTGTAAGTCCTCCCTAAAGGCTCGCTGATGCCGGCAGTTCGTGAAGGTGACTTTCGAAACTTGTTGTGGCTGACGTCCGAGCTGCTGGAGATGCTGGCCTGACTGGGAATGCGGGGCAGGGGCCTGATGGGGCGCACGTCCGCGCGCTCGTAGAAGAGGATGTAGCCGTGCTCGGTGTTCTTGCCGTAGGGCATGTGGGAGCCGAAGGTCATCTGGACCTTGCTGTCGGGGATGGGGGTGACGTGGTCGTCGTCGTACAGCAGCCAGTGGCCGCTGCTCTTGATGAGGCTCACGTAGTGACCTGGGCAGCAGGCCAAATGTGGTTTTGCCAAACTCGCGTGTTGAGTGCATTCCCGTTGACGGCATTACCTGCTTGGCACAGTCGACTGGCAAAAAGCTGTGATCGCCTTGGGAGGTGCACTGCTTTCCTTGGGAAAGGAGGGTGTGGGCAGGTGCCGCCCTGCTGCGACATTTAATCTTATCTTGTGTCACTGGAGGTACAAACGCCTTTTCTCGTCAATGCTCACAGATTGACTACATGCAGACTACGTGCAGACAATATGCAGGCTGCATACAGACTGCTTGCAGAGGACATGCAGAGGACATGCGGGGGACATCAGGACTGCATGCACACCACATGCAGACTGCATGCAAACTACGTGGAGCCCATCAATGCCAACTCGTGACCCGTTTTGCCGGGACATCTCGCCAATCAAACAAGGGTCACTAAGTGCAAAATCCCCAAAGGATCAATATCCTCACACTTGTGGGCAACACCCCACTTCACAAAAGCAACCAAAATCAGAGAAAGCATCATGTCACACAACTGGGCACAATCGTGTTGAGCAAGGTGTTGTGGACTAATTGTCATGCTGCTGACCCTGGAGCCTCCCATGGCTATTGGATATGTTGAGATTCCCAAGGTTCTATCAGTGGCCCAAAGGCCATGCCTGGTGCGGGTTCTGTAGTCCAGGGCCTGGAGTCTGCAGACAAGAACCTAGAGTCTGATGGCCAGGCCCCAGAATTCAAAGAACAAAATTCCAGATCTATCCCGCAGGTGCTATAGACTGGGCAGCTCACCCTGCCAACATCTCATATCCTGTCCAGCACAGACTCCAGAAAGACAAAACCAAGCAAGTTTGGCGGCAGGAATGCTGCACCAAGCATGTAGTTGCCTACCATGATTCATGCTGCTGCCAGAGTGCACCACAAGGGCGAACAAGTTGTACACGGCATCGGATTCAGGCGTATCATCTGTCGTTATGCACAGCTTGAGCTCCATCGGGAACACCACCCGATGCATCAATTTCCGCAGCCTGCACAGCCATCCCATCGCGATAAGATGATGGCTGCCAGGCAGGAAGCCAAAGTTCTGCGTGCACTGAATCAGCTAGCCTTGCAAAAGCATAGTCAACACAAAAGGGGTGCAACATGTCTCCTGCTGACTTGTGTCTCTTGTGTGCATGGTTGTTGTACTTTACTGTCACTGGATAATCGAATACTGTTGAGCCCTGACCAGCAGATTGCGAGGAAATTCTTGCAACCGCTGCTTGGTCACTTTGTTGGTGACCATCCAGCATTTAACAAATCTTGCAGCCAGTGCCAGATCACTGTCACAATGCGTCAGCCAGGTGAACGTTCCAACGCTCAGCAGCTCCACTGGCAAACATGCAGTTTGGTGCACCCCACAATTTCACAAAACAATTGATCGAGCATCAAGCCACTGCGACATCCCCAATATGGGGTCTTCCCCACAGGTGCGACTAGCATGCCATATCGACAGCCTCCATCGCCATTTTGGACAAAGGCTCCCACTCATTCCTTCTCTGCATGTCCTTTGCCAATGCTTGGACAATTTGGTGACGAGGGAAGCCCTACATGCCACAATCATGCAATTTTGAACAACTATTGGGTTGCATACCTGGGATCAAACCTTAGCAGGTGGCAGATCAGAATCTGTGGCACGTGCTTTATTTTGGTTCGTCTGTGTGCCTCCTGCAAGCACTGGCACACCTCGCAGAAGTACTTGTCTTCCTTTGAGAGCACCGATGTAGCACTGCACAGACACACACTACTCCTCATCGGATCGACCCTTGTGAATGATGCATGTGAAAAACACCAATGAACAATTCCTGCCACTTTTGGTGAGGTGCAACGGCAGTGCCCTGGCCTGTTCTGACATATGCAATCAAATGAATGGGGCTGAGCAAAAAAACAAGGGCCTCAGCAGCTTTGTCCAGACTGGCAACAGAATATGGCCCCTTAAACAGGAATAAGAGTATCTTCCAAACAGATGCAAAGCCATGACTGAAAGCAGCCAACAGCCATGGCCGTCAAGACGCCAGTGTGCAACCCAAAAAACAGCCCTCTGTAAAAGTGCAGCTTCTATACCTCATTTTGTGAGCTTCCATTGCCATCTGCAACTGAGAAGCCCTTGCACACGAGTTGATTTGCCTACCCATGCACATTGAGCCAGACAGCAAGACCGCCTGCCTTCTGTTCTGGTGCCAGATGAACCTAGCAGCGACTTTGGTATCCTGAACCTGAAGGCTACACCAAGCAACAGCATCCATCCCACACCTGGACTGTGAATCGGATGGCATGAGGAGCTTTGAGCCTTTAGGGAGCAAAAAAACATGCTGTAGGTATGTGTACGCCAAACATAGCCTTGTGTGCAAGGCCACAGCCATGCCCTGAAAATGCAACTGTGTTCCAAGCTGAACTCCGCACCTGTATTTCTTGAGGCAGCTGGTGAGTGACCAGTTGTGCTCAATCGGCAGCTGCAGGTCCATGAAAGACTGTTCTGTCCATGTAACCGTCTCGCATTGCAGGCACCGCGTCTCATACACCAGCTTGCCCTCAAAGATCTGCTGCAGCCATGTGGCCACAGGCTCGTTAGGGCCAGCACGCAACCTGGACCTCTCTTCTTTCTCCAAGATGTCAGTGATTTTGGGGAGCAGGAAGTTCAGAAATTCGTGGGCATCCTGCAAAGGCAACACCAGGTCATGTCAGGGGACTGTCACCTGGAGAAGCGCTGCTGGGCTGGGGCTCGGCATACCCCCTAACGGCCTTGCTGTCTGCCGCCAGAGTCTGTTGCAAAACCCATTCAGAGTGCAATCATGTGACCCAACAAAGATCAAACCCACTCATTCCCTAGCTGAGATGCTACAGCACGAGGCGACAGCACGACGCAACACGAGACATGCGAAACTTTCATCGCGGCAATCCCCTCCCAATAACTCCCCAAAGAGGACACCTCCGCCCACGCCTTCTCTACAGTGCAAGGCCCGGGGGACCTCAAAAGCGCAGCGCACCGCCCCACCAATCGGGCCCCGTGCCCAGGCCGTAAGCCCAGCGAGGCCCTCCCAGCCCGCCTTCCCCCCACTGGACACATCGTTCCTGCCTTTGGGACTTTGCACAAACCGTGACTGTGCGTTCCGGGCCCTCCGAAATGCCACGAGCGGCAGTGCGCCCGGCATCGATTCACGGCCCGTCCGACGCACCTGGTGCATGTACCCACAGAACTGGTCGTTCTCCTTCTTCAGCCTCTGCACGAACCGCTTGGGCGACAGCACCCCCGACTTCTTCTTTTGCGACCGGACCTGCCCGCAATAGCCCGCGAAAATTAATCGCACAAGAGAGAGGCGCGCCGCGCGATCACGAAACAGTGCCTCACACGGGTGCTGGAAACCGCGCGGGAGGCCAGCCCGGTAGCATGGTCAAGGCGAGACATCACGACAACCGGCACGTGAGGCACTGAGCGCGGCTTGCAGGCCGGGCAGGATGCCTGGGCTGCCCCATTTCGTGGTCAGACGCCCCCCACCTGCTGGAACAGCTCTCCCAGCACCGTGAGGATGGTCTCCTCCACCTCCCGCTCCACCCACTGCGCGTAGTAGTCCAGCACGCCCTTCCTGAAGGGCTGGCAGAAGTACAGCGCCTGCAGCACGGAGTTGCAGTAGCACGTGTTGCCGAAGTTCTCCAGGCCGAAGTACCGCTCGCCGTCGGGCAGCGCCGTCAGGCCCTTGTCCAGGCGGCTGCTTGAGATCCCCATCGCATGCCGCGCGCCCCGGGCCCGCCCCGCCTCCTGCCCACTCCCGCAGCTCAGGGCGGATGCCGATCGCACGCTGGTGCCCGGCGACGCGGCAAGCCGCTCCAAATCCTCCAAAAGCGCCGGGGTGCGATGGGAGGAAGGAGGGCGAGGTTTGCCTGGGGCAGCTGTTCGAAGATCGGCGCGGTCGGCTCGAACGCAGGTTCGGTTTCTGATGCGCCCGTCCACAAGTCGTTGGCGGGGGGAGGGGATTGGATGGCGACGGGGGGGCAGCGCGGGCGCCTCCAGTGGCGGCGTCACCGCTGCGTGCGCCGGGCCCGGGTTTCAAGGTTTCCGTGCGCGCGGCCTTGGGACGCTTCGGCCTCGGGGACTGTGCCAGGCTGGGCGGGTGGGCGCGCAAGGGGGGGCAATTGTGACATCGGCGTAACTTTTCGTGTCACGCCAATGGATTCAGTAAGCGTAATGAAGCGTCACGCAGATTTTTACTAGCGTATTTTTCCTTTTTCCTCGTTTTTTTACCTCACATATTGTTTTCCGCATTTGTTTTCACCTCACATGTTTTCTCCCCATTATAATTCTCACCATTTTCCTCATTTTCCTCCAGTCAGCTGCTGCCGAGTGGGTGCGCACGCACAGTTGTCGAGAGCCACGCGGGGGAGGAGGGTGGGGCTGTCGGCAAGTGAAGTTGGCAGAAAACCACTCTCTGGTTGGCCGGTGGAAGTCCAACTCGCCGCCGTCTGAGCTGCAGTGGCCCCTGCGGCTGGCGCGCCCGTCAGCAGCGCACAAGCTCCCTGCGCCATGAGGGCATTGGAATTCTACAGCGGCATCGGTGGCCTGCGCTGCGCCCTGAGGCGGGCCGCCCCCCAGGCGGCGGTGGTCGCAGCTTTCGACATCAACAACGTCGCCAACGACGTGTACGCTCACAACTTCGGCGATCGACCGCGGCAGGTGACCCTTGTTCTGGGTTGCGTTTCTCGGGAGGGGGGGCGCGGTGTGAAATGCCTATTGGATTGCGCATGTCGCCGTTGGCAAGCCGCTGTCCGCGCACAAGGCAGCGGAGGGTGCTCCTTGCAATGCTGTCCAGCCGCTTTCGCGGACAAAGCGCATCAACTGTTTTGGATGTTCGTCGACACACGGCATGTGGGGCGGTCTGGTGGTGCATTGTTTCCGATTGGATGGACACTTGTCGAACAATCGCAACCCCCTCCTGACTAGGATCAATGGACGGACTCTGTTCCATGCATAAGCATGGATAGAAGATGATACACAAATCTTTGACTGCACCAGGAATGCCAAGCATAACAGGGCAGAAACGCTACCGCCTCGCCTGAAGGTTGATGAACGGCGTTTGAGACATCCGCACTGCCTGTTCCCAGAGTGTTGAATAATGACTCACACAGCCTGCCAACATAACACCAATAGCTGTCTGTCCCTCTAGAGGTGTTCCCAGCCGAGCACTGCATCACGCCATGGCCGCATGTGCGAGACTTGTGCACTCCAGGCTAGCATCCGCAAATTTGATTTTCTAAAAACACAAATGTTGGTCACGTTGCTGTGTTCGGCTTTGCCACCATTGGCTGTGTGAACATAGCGGAATGTAGAAACGTTGCTGAACTATGAACAGCTTCCAGAATGGGAGAGTGCACCAGTGAAAAGCGTTGCAAGTCGCATCAGTTTTCAAGACCCAACAATGTGCAGCAGCAAGGAGGAAAACAATGGAGCTGGCAGAATGTGCGTGTCCACAGTTTGAGTCATATCATGGCCCCCTCCGCCTCCTGATCATTGCGGGCGCCGGTCTTTCCTAGTAGCAGACATGCCATGGCGATCGTAACAAAAGCAGAAGAATTCCACCACAGGGGCGCACGGCTTGGGATGGGTGTCCATGCTGTCACTCTACAAATGTGTTCCTTTCAGCCCAATCATGATCTCATGAATTCGGCATGTAGAATCCTCATGGCTGTAGCCCCCTGGTGCTGTTGAGCACCAGCGCTGGGCAGTCATGCTTTTGGTGAGGCTTTCTACCGGCAGGCTGGCCTCAATATGGCAGGGTTGTGTGAGCTTTGCATGAACACTCACAAATGAAACAGGCTCCCTGGGTGGAATAATGCCTGTTATTGCTCAGCAAGTGCATGGTATTGCCTTCTCGCTGGGGACAAGGACTGTCAAAATGGATGGATCTGCCAGTGAGCAACACTGATTGCATTTAGGATGTTTGTCGCTTTCAAGGGCAAGGGGGCTTTGCCTGTGGCCTCCATTTCAGCAGTGGCTTTAGCTTTCTCCAACACCATTCATGTTTGTGCTTGTGCAGCAGTGCACTTGCAACAACCATTTCTGAGCCGCCTCTTTTCTTGATGCAGTGAGTCTTTTGAGAGAGAACAAAAATGTCACAAATGCTGGAGTCTTCTTTTCGAACAAGTGCTGTGTGCTGTGCTGCATGCTGCTGTGGAAGGCATGAAACTTCCCAGTTGCATCAGGGCGGGCAGATTAGACTGTAGCACAGGAGAAGCTGCAACAGCAATCAAAGTTATTTTGGGAACAGCCACTAGTGGATTTTAACAGCAGAGAATTTCTCCACGTCCGTGCAAGGGCATAGTTTACCTTGAGCTTGTGACCTTTCAACAGATGCAACTCATAGTGTTCTCAAAGTGCAGCAGAACCTGTACTCAGCAGTCTATTTTTCTGCTGCAGTCGAACATCGAAAGGATTCCCTTGTCGCTACTGGAGTCCATGAGGGCAGATGTCTGGCTGCTGTCCCCACCTTGCCAGCCCTACACACGGCAAGGCCTGAAACTGGACGCCAACGACCACAGGGCCTCAAGTTTTCTGGCCCTCATGGGCATGCTGGCCCAGATGATGGCGCCCCCTGATTACCTGCTGGTTGAGAATGTTGTGGGCTTTGAATCGTCGTTGACGAGGAGCAGACTGGTGGAGACACTGAGAGCGTGCCACTACCAGGTGCAAGAATATATACTCAGCCCCGTTCAACTGCGCATTCCATACTCCAGGCCAAGGTGAGTCAAAGGTTAGGTGTCGATCAATGATAACAGAGTGTGGATAGTTGGATGACTAGGTGACCAGCTGCACGTGAAGCTGCCATAAACGCATGCGCAAGAGGTTACACGACTGTGCCATCGAAGGAAAGTGCTTAGAAATTGCTGAGATACAGGTTGGAATGTGGATAAGGGAATGGAGCAGGCATCAATTGTCTTGTGTGGGTACTCATGTCATCTTCTTCACATATCAAAACCAAAAAGGTGCTGCCTTGCAGCTTCCATTGTGACAGCGGCACTTTATCAACCTTAGAATTATGTCATGAGATTTCTCGACTAAAACTTGTTGGTAACAGTGCAATGTGAAATGCAGTGCAGCATGTTGTTGCTAGCAATGAGCAGTAGGGCAGAGGCTGGGGTGGGTGCTGCGAATGCAACCTTCTCGTGCCCAGTTTGCAGGGTAGAGTAGCCTTTTGCGGATCAAATGGCAGAAAGGCCCAGTGCATCATGGCTTCGTTGATGTCCACTACCCATGCGGAGTGCCCTGCAGTAGGCTTAAATACTGCTGTAACAAGATAGGGATGTTATACAATGGACATCCCCAGCTGGAATAACATGCTTCGAAGTGTGTTCCACAGTCGAAATTGTGTGGAAGTGTCAAAGTGTAGCCCCAAATAAATCAACTAGATGTAGCATGAACAGCAGACTCTGGGAGCATGCTGAGTTTTTCTGCATTCAGTGTGGCATTGCCATACTGGAGGTGGTGGCTGGGAGGGGGCTGGGGGACTGGCACATTGTGAGGATCTTTGCTCAATTCATGCAAATATGTCGATGAGCACCTGCACCACACTTACCTGGTTCAGACATACTGTTGAAGTAGGAATGCAACAAGTCGCTTCACTCTTGTGTTGCTGCATGTGGTTTGCAAGGGCTGTCAGTTCTATTGAGCACTCATTGGGAATAGGCACTTGAGAAATTAGCAAAGAGTCTGGGTGCTTTTGCCCCTGCAGGTATTTCTGCCTTGCAAAGAGGGGCCGATTTGCAACACAGCCAGCAGAGCCGCACTCTGTGCTCTTTGAACCTCCACCCTTGGGCCAATTGCCAACTTATGAGGTAACCTGTTCACAGCACTATTGATGACAACACCAGGGGATCGCTGTCAGTGCAATGAGCTGTTGGCATTAATGGGAGAGGTGCTGTCCAACAATGTGCCGTTAGTTTCCATGTATCCATTTGTCATGGATCGTGCTCATGTTGCCTCTGGATGTTGTGGGTGTGAATCGCTGTCAGTCCGTTGTGGGAATCTTGACCAAACCCTGTCCAAACATCGCAGCACAGGCGATGTCCTGCTCATCGTTGTGCGAATCAAACACATACTGGCGCCCTTCTGCTGCTGAACTGGTCAAGGCATGTGGATTGCAGTCCCAGAAGGTCATATTTGGTGATACAGATCGTATCTGTCTTCTTGGCAATTATGTGCCTTATCCGTCAACTTGACATGGTGTCAGAATTTGCAGCCAGGATTTGATAAAGCAAACAAGTAGATGGCCCAGTGGGAGGCCCACAACACTGAAGTGCACTTTTGCAAGCATATGCAACGTTGTGTAAATGCATGCATGCAGCTATGAAAGCATTGCGACTGGACACTGTGTTCAGCTGCTGCAAACATAGCACTCTGGTGCATGCAAGCTGTCTACAAGGCAGGCTCCACTGCAGGGAGAACAGAGTTGATCCACAGCCCAGTATATTAGGCTCACAAAAATGTGGGGTGGTAATCTCCCATTCAAAGCGATGAACAGGTGCCCAATAGGGTACGAAAGCAGCACACGTACAGCAATGCCAATGGCATGTCAAGTAGAATGCCAGAACAGCCCCACCGCTCAGTATCCAACTTATGAACAGGGCAAGAGCGATGGCAAGACTCTGGCCAGTCTCTTTATTGCGTTCAGTGCTGAATCGGCTTCCTGGTGGCCTTGTGCCTGCTGTCAATCGATGACCAGGTCGGGCTCAAAAATGTTGATGTTGAATGTGAGCACCAGGAGCCGAATACGGATGTGCCAACCCATGCTCCGCCACTGGTATATGTATCCTTGCAGTTGCTGGCCACTGGCATTGCCAGCCGCACCCTGATGTGAGGGCTCATCGAATCATGCTGCTCTATGCTGTGAGCTATTCCTGTTGCGCTTGGAGATTACCGGGTCATCTTCTATCGCATGGAAAGTCTCCCATGGGATGTTTACCCAGCCAGGATTTGCTCCATCGTCCCACATGTGGCCACGTTAGATTGGCATTAGTTCTGCCCTCTGATCATGGACTACTTTGGACATGAGTCGGAAGTGTGCTCGGCACGTGGTCTGCACAAGCAAAAGCCACGGAGACGCTATGCCCTGCTTTTACACCTGATCTGTGAATGGCAGGTGGATCTTTGACGTTACATTACTCGCCAGGCCTTCTCGACAGCTTTGAGTTCGAAGTTCAGGGCACACCAAGAACAAAACAGACTGTGGGGGAGGGAAAGGATAGAACCAGTGATTTTGCTTTCTTTGCTTTATTTTGCTTCATTCTGCTTCTTTTTGCTTTGTTTTGCTTTATTGATGCTGTGGTTTTGCTAAGTTCGGACGGAAGCCATTTGTCAGCCGCTTCACTGCCATGACGCCTTTCACACTGTCCCTTCTGCCAGGATGTCGTTCCCGAGCCCATCGCGGCCTTCCTGGATCCGGAGGATTGTCCAGACATGGCGGAGGGGCCGTCCGGCCTCGTGCCCGGTCCAAACGCCCCTCCTACCGACGATCCAACCCCCGTAGACGCCACTGGCGATCGACTCCGCCCAACCCTGCGTGCCCACAAATCGCCACACTCAGCAGACTGCGCCGATCCTGGCTTCGATCAATTCCAGCCTTCCGTGGATTTTGGAGATCCCACCTCGTCCGTCGCCCGAGATGGCGCGTTGTGTACAGAAGCGGCAGATGGCCACGCGGGAGGCGCGAAACATAGGAATCTGAAAAATGCGAATGGCCTTGCGGGCACCAGGGACCGCTGGCGGATGCTGAGGGTGCCAGTGAAGACGCTGGCCCAATGCGGCAACGTGATCGACGTGGTGGCGGCGGAGGGGCGGCGATGCAACTGCTTCACGAAGAGCTACACGCGCTACGCGAAGGGCACAGGCTCGGTGCTGGCCACCAGGAACACCCACCTACTCCAGACGCTGGAATCAACCCGGGCACGCAACGTGCCCATTAGGGGCGACAGCGCAGGTGCCGGTAACGCTGTCGGTGACGATGTCGGTAGCGGTGTCGACCGCCGACAATGTGACAGTGACGGTGGCAGTGGTGGTGACGCCGGATGTAACGGTAACGGCGTCACGCCTGGGATGGTCGAGGCGCTGAGGGAGATGGGGGTGAGGTACTTCAGTCCCCGGGAGGTTGCCCGGCTGCACTCCTTCCCTCCGGGCTTCGCCTTCCCGCCGCACGTCAGCCCTCGGCAGAGGTACCTGTTGCTGGGGAACAGCCTCAACGTGAGCGTGGTGGCCCACCTGCTGGCGTTCCTGTTCATGGACCCCAAGGACCAGTCCTGTCTTGACGCATCCCAACTTCTGGCATCTGCACCTCTTGCAAGCGTCGGCGTGATGGCCTGCTCAGACATCGCCCAGTAGGCGAAATGGCTGTGAACTCTCACGAATCAATGAATGTGGTCACGGAATCTTCACGACTGAGGGCTTGTTTGCCAGCTGGGATCCAAGAATAGTTGCTGACTGGCAAGCAAGCCGGAGGTGTTCCAGGCACTGTGCAGCTGTGGCATGTTCCCAGTTGTGGCACAGCTTGCATGAGAACGCTTACTCTCTTAGTGCTGTCAAACCTTGCACTTCCTTACGTTCAAGCCCTCACAAACAACGATGCCACTTGGATAAGCAGTGGGCCGCTGAACAACCTGCACAGATGCATCCAAGAGAACCGGGTGCTCAATGGATATGCGTGAGTGCATGGCAGTTCTTGTACATTATGCAGGCATAGGCGACATCACATTGCCATTAAACCAGAAATAACCTCGATCGAACTCACGACAACGTTTATGGGCTCTGGGCCAGTGATTGGCCTCTACAGCATCGTCAGCCCTGTGGCATTCCTGTGACGGTACATCAACGCTATCGTTAGTCTACTGGGACAGCGGCCTTTTTGGTGGCTTCAAGGCCAGCTGCCCACCGCAAAGACAACAGTCTCAGCACATAGGCAGCAGCACCAAAGAGATGGCCATTCCCGCTGATAGGCCCACCGCTAGGACGTCAGTGCATGCACCTCTTGTTGGGTTGTTCTCATCACTGGCACTGTCAACAGGGGTTGTGCAGACTGCAGAAAATAGATGCAGACAGCCAGCTGCTGCCCGGGCTGCAAACCTGCAACAACTTCCTGCCAGGTTCCTGCGATGAAATGCACAGATTGTACTTTGGATGGCACTTGAAGTGCTGGCTACTACATCGAGTGCATCAGAAATGCATTTGACAAGTTGGCTTGCTGCTGGTGCAAAGTGAAAGATGCAAACTGCACGTCTGGTGTGTCTGCACGGGAGAGACCAACGTGTGACCCCGAAACCCTGCTCTGGATGCAGAGCCCTTGTCCTGTCTCCAAAGAATGGCCCCCATGCTCAACATCGACAGAGGTCCCTAAACCTCGGCATCTCAACTGACTTGAATTCCTGTGCTCAGGAACCGATGTGGAGAAATGAGCGGCTCAAGGAAGTTCGCCGTCACCCATGGTTCACGTCTAAGCTTGTGAAACGAGGTATGAAATTAATGGCACATCGCCGATTATTGAACAGAACTGCACAACTTCTAAAGGGTCGTCGTTTACGAAAGATCGTTCATCTGACTGTGCTACATGCTTGTTCCCGCTGTCCTGGCAGCCACCCCGGCTTGAAGCTCCCACGCTCTCAAGGACCCACAGCAGCATCTCCGATTGTGCCCTTGCCCCTGCGTCCGTTCGGCCTTGACCTCTGGCGCTTGACAGCATTCTGTCAAACTGCCCGCTCCCATGCAGAGCAGGCTTGACCGGGGCGAACAGGGCACCGCACGCACGAAATTCCATGTTTAGCATCATCCCTTCTTTCCGCAGGGTTTGTGTCTTCTTGTACCTGCTCAATGTGCATCAGTGAGCTGTTTTGCCAAGCCCCAAATCCATAGCCCGCATTCTGTGCCAAGAGAATCTTCACCATCCTTCACAGGATGGCCAAGAGTCTTATCAGTTTTTCCCTGAGGAGGGGGGGCCCCTTTGTATGACACGTTTTCCCCCTTGTTGCCAACAACCTTTCATCATCCTTGCCAAAAAATCCCCGTGTGCAACTACTTTTCGATCCACTGACATCTATACCTTCCCATCCTTCATGTGTCTATTACCCTACACTGCCTTGGTGGAGGCCAACGGCTGGACTGCCTCCCAATGTCTCAATGCCTTGGCGCAGTTCATGGAGCTCCTCCCTTCAGGCATCTGGTTTCCAATGGTGTTCCATCATTTTGGCTACAAGAGCTGCTTCTTTTCGGCCGATCAGCTTCTGCACAAGGTCAAGCACCTCGTTGAGCGCCTTGCCTGCTGGTACGGACAGCAGAGTGATGGGGACTTCACCCAGATGCCTCCTTTCAAGGGCTCGCTTGACTTTCAAGAAGTCCTCCTCCTGTCCATCCTTGGTAGGTTGCGAGGATGGCACCAACACATGATGCTGTGCGCGACACAGAGCATCCCGATGTAAGAAGGTGACAAGTATAGGAGCCGTTTCCGATTCAAGAGTTTGTATGATTGCTCCATCAGGCTGGCAATGCAAGTGCAATTGGCATGTTGGCAAAATCAATGTACTACAATGCTCTACATTTCATTCACTGCTTGCTGGAGGCACTAAATTCCTCTCAGTGTCATGCATAACAAGAGATCTCTCACCTCAAAGTTGTTCGTTCCAGAGAGTCACTACCCACAACATTGCAGGCTCATTGATCTGGAGCATTGGCCGAACGAGTGGCTGGAAACAATTTGCATTGATTGATTAGAACTGGCATTCAATCAGCCATGGTTGGGGAAAGTCACGTGTGCATAGGTGCAGTACCATGCACTCGCAGCAAAGAGGTGAAAAATGAACAGAACACGCTATGACATTGCTGTTTCTTTGCACCCACCACAGGTTCCTTTAGGACACCAGCAGTGAACTGCGGCAGCACTGCAAGGCCATGTGCCGTTGCCACTGGTCCCACTTGCTCCTCAGGCGTGAAGGTCATCAACTTCACCTTTCCTGTCCGTGGGAAGGCATCCACCACAGCACCCAGTAGCGTCTCCCCCACATCGGGCATTACTGCAACTGCGATCACCCGCTTGCCCCACGGCGAGAACGTTCGGCCCATGAGCTTGACGCCCTCAGTCGTGCCGATCGTGAAGCTCGGTGGACGGCCTTCCACCTGCAATCCATCAACTACCAAATGAGAAGAATTCCCACATCATGAAGCAAGGGCAGTATGAAAGAGAGCAAGGGCGTATGTACTTGAAAGAGGTCAAAGAAGAAGTATGAACAGCAACACCAGAAAAGGCATTGTAGAGAATGACTATATGAATAAAATCACAAGAGAAGAATAACGTGAAACGGTGAATATGCAGCCACAAACTTCTGTGAACTACCCAGAACAAGCATGTTTGCCAACCTTGCCATCTGGATCGGTCTCCCGCACACGGCCTTCATACTCCATGCGATCACTGGTGGCATCTGCATGTGCAGGGCTGCCCATCTTCTCGATGAGGAAGAGTGAGGAGTCAATTCCCGCAGAGACACCAGCAGAGGTGATTATGTTGCCAGTGTGGATGTACCTGGGGGAACAGAGTAGGTATTGCTGAGAAATTGCAGACCATGCTTCAAAGCTTTCAGGGGTTGCAATTTGCCAATGCGTTTCTGCTAGCAAAGCGATGCTGCCTCGTGATCTGAGTTCATTTGATGCACATGTCAATACAAGCGTGTCATCTTCATGTTGCTTGCCAAGGCTACAATCTTCAACACAATCAAATGCATTCAGGTGCTTTGGGAGTAGCAAAGCTACTGCCGGCAGACGATGCTGAGTTGCTGCAGGCCATGAATCCAAATTGATAAAGGGCAAGTGCACTGCATTTACTTCTCATTCAGCCCCAATGGAAGCCGATTCAGAGAGCATAGAACAGAGGGCTACAATATCGGATCAGGACTTTCTTCTCTCGCAGACAACAGGTGCTCGGAGGGAAGCAAGGCCATGAGCAGCCATACATGTGCATAGCAAAGCTGGGATCGATCACCTGTTGCAAGTCGAGGCAAAGGTGGCGGTCGGGTCAGGTCGGAGGCAAAGGCGTGGGTGCTCAAATGAGTCAAGAAGGGTTTGAACGATCGGCAGTATGGGCAGAATTGGATGACGTTGTAGGCATGAACCGTGGATTGTTACAATGGCAATGCAAGGGACATCCAAGAGCCGCAACAGTGTTGATACTGGCTCCTTTCCATGATGTCGCCTTGAGGAGCTTGGCGGGGTGGGGGCCGCACGCTCGCGTTGTTAATTTCTTGGGGCATTCACACAAACTAATAGTCCCTTGGGTAATGATCCCTGAGCGCTGGGCCGTGTCCACGCATCGCCTGCATCCAACTCAACACAGTATACCTGCGCAGGACAAGTCGGGAGCGCTTGTGTGGGCCCAATTCCATTGAATCCTCACTTGTCGCGTCATGGCAGCAAGCCCTGCCACCAAGCTGGTGATGTCGGGCCATGGACGCAAGCACAATGCGACCTCCCGGAAGCACGTTCGTGTCCTGCGTGTCTGTGCCCATCTGTGTCTATCTGTGTGTGTGCTTGTGGGTGAGTGGTCGGGGTGGTTTGGAAGGGGGAAAAGCGGGAGGGGGCGGGGGGGCGGGCGCCCACCTGTGTCCGTGCAAGAACCTGACGCTCGGGTGCTTCCTGCCGAGCTCGTTCAGCGCGTGGAAGTGCGTGACGGCCACCTTGCTCTCCAGCAGCCCGGACGCCGCCACCATCCGCGCCCCCTCACACACGCTCAGCACCCACTTGCCCCCGCCGTACCGCTTCAAGAACTCCAGCAGCATCGGCTCGCCAGCGTCGAACACGTTGGGCACCACCACCACGTCCGCGGACTCGATCACGGCGGCCGTGTCGTCCGCCGACATCTCCAGCAGGGCGTAGTCGGGCACGGCGAATAGGTTGCCGCTCAGGGGCGCCGGGCGCGACGTGGACGCCACGGTGAAGACGTCGAAGAGGCGGGATGCCGCCAGGGTCTCGTAGGGGCCCAGAAGGTCCATCACTTCGGTGCCGCGCGCACCGAGCAGGCACAGCGCCACGAACGGTGGCCGATCGCCTGTGGTGCGCTTGCGGGCTTCGCGGATGCGCACCTTGGGCATCTGCGGCGCGCGGCCCAGGGGGGCGATGTCCTTCATGACTATGTCCATGGCGGGGGTGGGTGGGGGTGGGGATCTGTTGCCTGCCCTGTGGTGGGCTTGCTGGCCGTCGGGTTGGGCGTCGGTGTGTGTGCGGCTGGGGAGCGCAAGGGGCGGAGGGGGTCCTTGTTGAGGGGCGTTGGCGTGAAGCCGAAGACGAAGGCGCCTGGCGGGTGTCTCTCCTGTGATTGCCAGTGCTAGCTGGGCGTCAGGTGGCGTGCTGGGGAAGTGGGTCACACTGGCGGGCGGTGGGGTGATGCGGGTAGGTTCCCAGCACGCGCTCACGTTAACAAAGCTGACCATCTGGGCCAGATGACGTTCACATGCCCGCGACTGTGGGGCTCGCGTTGAACTTTTGGCTAGTTCAGCGGCCCGGGGGGCAAAGCACGAGGCCCATGAGGCGAAGCGCCTCTTTTGTCTCGCGAATTCTCTCGCTTCTGGCAGTCCGGATGTGGTGAGCGTAGCATCGAATGGCTAAGGATCTTTTGGGTCCACCGTAAAATGTTCAACCCTTCCGCATCGGAAAGTTTCATTGTTACCCGCATTTTGCTTTTAGAGCATTGCTTATTTTTTCTCTCCACATCATGCCCCGTGGGTTCTGTGGTGGCGTTGAAGTTGGCCATGCCAACCTTTAAAAAGCATGGCTAATGACTGCATCAACTTCATTCTCCAGTCATCAACAACGAGCTACCATGACCAGGAAAAGTGTATTACATTTTATGCATTCAGAAATTGCCTGGAAACAACATCCATATTTATGCGGCGCTCAATCTCGCCACATTTTGCCAAGGAACCGTGCCGCTGCACTCCTTGGTCGCTCGCAATCGCCCAGCGGGGAGACGCCTCGGGCATCGATCCCCCTGCGCCTGGCTCGGAGACGCCTGCGGTGTGACGTGGCTGCTTGGGGTTTAGGCTTATTTGACATTTCTGGAGTGAGAATTACGTAATTGGCTCAATCGACCTTTTGGGGACATTATTGAGAGCTTCTTGGTTCCAACGAGCTTTTAAACGCCCGATTCCGTTAAGAAACGGCGAAGATATGGCCTCCTGGAGTTGTAGTACTTAGGGCCAGGGGGTCGGGTGTTAGACGCTTGGAATTAGAGGACAATGGGTCGATCGTAGGTGAACGGTGGACGGTGATGATGTGCCTGGACGCGCACTTGTCTTGTCTTGTCATGATATGACCGCGATGGACCCGCGATCGGGCATCGCGCATGCGATATGTGCGCGCGCATGCTGTGAATCCGTGTAACATCTTTGGCCCACTCTCTGGCCTCCCGCGAGCCAGCGAACCACCACCGCGCTGCGCCGCCACCTCTCGCCGACAGCAGGCCCCAGGGATCGATCCCCGTCGAGCATTGGGCCCACCGCACGACCAAGGAAGCGACTGCCCCGGATACTAGAGGTGGCCACCCGGATCCGTTAATAACGGACAGAGGTTAATTCCGTTAATTAATCCGTTAATTAACGGAAAATAACGGAAAAAGACAAAAATTAACCAAAAATTAACGGATTTTTGGATTTTTTGGGGATTTTTGGGTTTTTTTCATACTTATAGTTTATGGAATTCGCTATTAGAGAGCATGTTTGTATTTTATTTCAACCTATGCATACTAGATTTTTAACTAGCCGCAATTGTTGTGATTTTTTGGGTTTTTTTTCGATTTTTTTGGATTTTTTTTCGTTTTTTCTGAATTTTTCTCCCTTTTTTTGCAACGGAATTTAACGAACAGCTGATAAAAATTAACGAACCGGATTTAACGAAGCGGATGGCATCTTGAATGGCCACCTCTACTGACCTCCAACAGCCGAGCTGCAAGGCAGGGCGACCCCAACGCCTCTGGAAACCAGCGGGTGCCGACGGGGCTGCAACAATTGGTTTCGGAGTGCAAAGCCCGGAGCCGGAAGCTGAGCGAGAGGCGCAGCAACCCAGAATGACCACGCAGCCTGAGGGCTGCAGATTCCAGAAGCCTCCAACACCCCAGGCAGCGGTCAGCACCTCCGCAGATGCTGAATCGCCTTGCTGTGTGCCTGCGGGAGTTTGTTCAGTGAGCCTGAGGAGCGATTTGGTGGACGATTGGTGTTTAGGGATCGACGGTGCCGGGCGATCGCCAGAGCCACAGATTCGCCAGCGGATTCAGTGCATGCGCCAGGCGCCCATCGTGTAGCCGAACATGCGAAGGCCAGCACCTCTCAGTTGGAAGATTCAATCAACCTCAGGTGCCACCCGCTGTAGAATAGGGGTGAGGGTCCCGCTCTAGAAGTAGGGGACATCTGCTGCTTCACCTTATTTTGCAGGTATTGCAGGCGGGTCACCACCAGACTGCTCTGCACCAAGATTGGGGACCTGATTAGGGGAAGGGGGAGGAGATTGTGCACGGCAATAGGCAGGCCCAATTGGGTCCAGAGTGCTACCTCCTAGAGGAGGCATCTCCCCTAGAACCGGTCAGAGGGTGAGGCCATTGCCCACCTGAGGTAGATAGGCCAGCCACCCCCTCTGAACCTTGGGTGGCTGAGTCTTAAAATATTAGATAGGCTGGGGGTGCCATAGGCCAACCCAGACCTCTTACAGCGGTCTCGTCCCAAGCAAGGGACACCTTCTTAGGTTGTTCGGCGGACGCTGGGACTAAGTTTTCATTAGTAGCCACAGACGCACCCTCTGGAAAGTTACTACGTGGACCGAGAGGTCACCCTACAGAGTACTGGGGGTAACTGTGTGTGAAAGTGTTTACTGAAAACCAGTAGAAGCAGGATAACTTAAGTTGGGAGGTAAAGGCTGCTTGGCTACTTGGGGATAGGATTCAATGGACTTTCAGTAGCCCGAGATCAGGTCTATGTCGATTGACTTCGTTTCAGTACAGTTTATTATTGGATCAGTGTCATGAGTGGGATCATGGCAGATCATGATATGATGGAGCTGCAGGGCCATGATAGTGTGGAGGAAATTGACGGGATAGTGGAGACAACCACTGGAGCTGGACGTGTGGGAGTTATTGCTGCATCATACGAGGCACGGCAACAGAGGATTTTGATTGCCGGGACAGAGCCGGGGGCAGTGGTTTTGGGAAACCCAGAGGGTGCCCTGGTCTCCAGGACCGAAGCTGCACAGGGGATGCAGAATCTCGAGCAGCGAGCTGCACAGGCGATAGCAGGGACTGCCGCCCAGACAGCACATGCCATGAATGTGCTGGCTGATCAGACAGCATCAGCAGTGCAGCATACTGCCCAGACATCTCAGAGGGCAGTTTCGCATTTGGAGGGTCAGACCAGGGAGGCATTTGGGCGGACTGAGACTACTATGTCATCAATGCATAGAAATGTCTCCAGCAATGCGGAGCGCCTTTCAGAGCTGGAGAATGCATTGGCACATGAGAGGCAAAGGAATTTGGATGCTGAACAGTGGCTAAGGAGGGAACAGGATGCGACTGTGGAGCGGCTTACTAGGCAGCTCCATGATGCTCTATCCAGGATCGATCAGCTGTCCGCGGACCTGGCTATAGAGCGGTCGCAAAAGGATTCTCAGCCTCGTCAGCAGACTGTGCCGAGACCCCCAGAACCACCAGCGACAACTACATACAGCCGACCACCGCATTTGCAGCAGGAGCTGGAAATTGTTGCTGATGCTGGCGATCAGACGATGCCCCCTGCACAGGCCAGCTATGCCGCCCGTCCAAGACGACAGAGGTCCAGATCACACAGGTCGCGGCATGCACGTTCGCCCAGTTCTGACATGACATCATCGAGCGAGTCATCGGGGAGGCGCACTCGCAAGGGGGCTGGGATTTTTGACGTCCAAATAAAACCAAAGGACCCTCCAACCTTTTCGGGCAGGACATCTGAAGACCCGGAGGTGTGGCTGGGTCAGGTGTCGAATTTCTTTCGTTTGGTTGGAGGATCGCCTGGGAAGCAAGTTGCATATGCTTCCACTCTGCTCCAGGGAACTGCACAGACCTGGTGGCAGAGAAAGCTGAAGGCGTGGGAGGACCTCAAGGACATGTAGACCTTCGGAGAGCAGCTGATCAGCCGGTTTCAAAACACCAACAAGGCTGATTCTGCGATGGTTGCATTGATGAATATCAAGCAGCGCAAAGAGGAGTCCACGCATGATTTTATCTGTAGGTTCGAGGCTGAGTTGGATAAGGTGGATACCTACGATGAATCATGGGTGTTGAAGATGTTCATCTGGGGCCTTCCCCAGGACTAGGCGGTACTTGTTTCACAGGGAAAGCCTAAGAGGCTGAGCCAGGCTTTCCAGCTGGCCAGGGACGCTGCATTGGCTGCCCAGATGTCGAGACGCCCAGGATCAAGTGGACGTGTTGAGGGTAGCAGTGGACAGAAGGGCCATGGACGAGGCCAAGGCAAGCAGCCAGGACAACACAGTGGACAAGGATCAACACCAGCTCCTAATGTTGTATACTACCAGGCTCAAAATAAAAATGTGCAACAAGGGGGTAATCGTGGAAGG